ACCAGATCTAGTCTGTATCCAGATCAGATGGTCACTGCAGTCACCCGGATCCAGTACATATCCAGTCCAGATGGTGGATCAGCACCTAGAGATGACCTCTAACAGCCCTGAATGTCAGCGGAAATCAGGACAACTAGATGATCCCCAGAGACAGATCCCCAGTAAAGACCTTGTCTCCTAGACGGCCACCGGGACAAGACCACAGGAACCAGTTGAGTCCTCTGCTCAATGTGACTCAATGTGCTGCAGCCTGGAATTGAACTGCTGGTTTTGTCTGGCCAGAGGAGAACTGGTCCCCCGACTGAGCCTGGTTTCTCCCAAGGTTTCTTCTCCATCCTGTCACCGATGGAGTTTTGGTTCCTTGCCGCTGTCGCCTCTGGCTTGCTTAGTTGGGGACACTTAATTTCCAGCGATATCGTCGACTTGATTGCACAGATACTATTTAAACTGAACTTAGCTGGATGATGACATCACTGAATTCAATGCTGAACTGCCTTTAACTGAAAATTGAGTGTTTACTATTGTCATTTTGCATTAATGACACACTATATTCCTAATTAATGCTGTACAGTTGCTTTGACACAATCTGTATTGTTAAAAGCGCTATGTAAATAAAGGTGACTTGACTTGACTTGACTTGAGTGTGCCATCTTCTAAATATGCTTGATTTCCAGCTTGGAGAACTCTGTCGAAATCATAGGAAAACTCAGGAACTTCACATTTTTCTGGCCACTTTTCCAAACAACCATCAGATGTTGCCAACAGCACTAGAACTTGTTGAGGCTTGGTCATCTCTAGAATGCTGGTCCAAATCTCTTGGAGTTGATAAGATGTCAGAGTCGCAAACAGGTGTCAATGTCAGAATGACTGATGGTTCTTCTACTTTTTTATGATTTTGATTGAGCCCTTGTTCTTTATGTCGTCAGTAGAGGTCAGAGTAAAAAACTGACCAAAGTCAGTGTCCATGTACATGAGACTAAAATGTCCATCCAATTGAAAAGTATCTTTTACAATTGTCAGAAGATCATCAACTGTGTTCGGAATCCCAGATGGAAGGAACAATTTTCGTACGTCATGGTCCTGTAGAATTGCTCGTAGTTCAGATGGGCTAGGTGAGGACATTGTTGATGTGTTCACAATCTCAGTCTGAAAGGAAAAAAATAAAGGGTATTAGCCTAGATTTAGCTGCTTAATTTTAAATGCATAACTGCTACCACAGTGTCTCTCTCTAACTCTCTCTCACATAAACTATACACACAGTCAAGCACCGGCACTGAAACACACACACACACACACTTTATTACATTACCACAATCTTATCACCATTAACAAATATAATCATAGCAGTTTATATATATATATATATATATATATATATATAATGCAAAGGACTTGTAAGAATGTAATAGAAAATAGGAACATAACCTTTTAATCAACACAAATGTAGTGTTTTAGAGACACCATCGAGTGCCCTCCCATGGTGTAGGTTGCCAGTGGATAAGCGTCGGTTAGCTGGCCGTGTTGGAGGACTTTAATATCACGAGTGGGTTCCAACATAAAAACCCTGAGATGTTTATTGTACCTTGCAGGCGCTTTGCAGCCTGACAACAAAGCTGAGTTAATCTTGAACAACAACCATTTGAACAATTTCTGCAAAGTCAGGCAATCCCCCAGTTGAGCCAAATGCTAGCATCATTCCTACTGTGTAGTCTGTGCCGAAATAGTCTACCTTATTTGTCATGTGTACTGCAATGGCATTGGGGAATTGTTTTCTCACGGTTTCTTTTATTCCTTCCATTTAGCACTTCAAGTGGCACTTAAGACATTTTTGTCACAAAAATGGCAGGCTTTGCATGATCAGAGTCATACAAATGGAACGCAATTTTTCTGAAGCAGCCAGTTTGCTGAATAACCTTCTTAAAGAGGTGGTGTTTGGCTTCAAACCTCATAGTCCATAATGCCACAAGGGGGCCAAAGTCTTTGATAAGCTGAGGATAATGCTCCAGAAAGTGATGTTTCGGAAGCAGTCTTTGTTGTGGAAAAAGTTCAAAGAACCTATGTTGATGTTCAGATATCTTGCTGTCAAGAAAGCCGATGCTTGCATCTGAAAAGACAGGTGACAGAGCAAGCTCAACAACATCTTTAAGAGTCATTATCAACTGCCATGCCTTTTCATCCTCTGGTATTTTCTCTCCAACCATAAGTGACAGCAACCTCTATAAACACCAGTTTTCGTGGGCGTTGCCACCGATGCTGGTTTTAGACCCAAAGTTTGGTGCAACAACTTGAGGCGAGTTTGTTCTGTCACTCCATTTGTATGAATGTTTTGATTTGATGGTTGAGCTCCGCAAGAGTGAAATACTTTTTCCTAATCAATACATTCAAACACAATGCCAATTCAACTGGTACAATTCCCTCAAGCAAATCATGATGCACATCAGGAGGATACCCTGCTACTACATGAAAGTGATCCAGTCTGTTAGTAATTGGACATTGGTCTTTCACCCCAAAGCAATGGGTTGCTGTCCTTAATGCAGTTTGAACACGTGTTTCATGTTCTTCTTTATTTCTTTGAGCAAATGCACCAGATCCGACCCCTGGTACAAAATCTGCAGATGTGTAACCCAATGAAGTTTTCAAGAACACCTCCAACTGCATGAGCACCCAGATTATCAGCAATCACACAGAACACTGTGACCTTGATAAATCTCCCAAAAGAGGACACACAAAAAAAACGTCTTGCTCCAAGCTCTTGAGATCCATCAACAATGGTTCAAGTACACGAGAATATCCATATTTCTTTGCATAATTTGCTTTACAAAGCAGAGCCAGATAGATGGATGTCAGTGAAGTGCGTGATACACTGCGAATGTTTCCCAACACCCAGTAGACGGCAGTAACTTTGTGCTTTTTTCTAGACGTTCCGAGTGGATTACACACCTCAAAATCATCGATGTAGAGTATAAGAGGGATTCTTACATCTCCTCTAGACAAAAAATTAATTTTCTTTGAAATGTGAAGCATCACAAAACAATTCAAAAGTACATTTAGAGCTTTGTGTATTCCTGAACGCCTCACTATTCTTAACTAAAGTCTGTGACAACAATTTCAGGTAACACTTTACTTTGATAGTCCATCTGTTGAGACACTACTAGTTATTAGTAGCCATAGTATGTCAACAGTGTGTCAGTTGACATCCAACAACACTGTTTCAATAGACAAGTAACATACATTCAACTAACTGTTTATAAACTATAAGTTGCATTTCAAGTGTTAAACTACAGCTCTTACAAAAACAGTCTGTTGACTGTCAATATGTTTTTAGCAACAGGTTATTAACTAATGGTCAACTAACTTTCTGTAAATTGAGTCACCATCTTCTAAGCTGTCAACCAACAACTCATTATCAGTCTGTCAGTTGAAAGTAAACAGTCATATCAACATATAATTAAGAGTGTATCTTATTTACTCAATGGGAATTAAATTAAATTGAATGATTACAAACTGTTTTAAACACAATCTTTTTTCTTTTATCTGTTGATTGTCAATTAAAGATTAGTTGCTTATCTGTTGCTTGTCAACAAATCTATAGTTTACGATCAGCAGACTATTAGTAGACATTCTCCACTAAGTGTTAGTAGATATCTTTTAGGACTATCTAATTAAAGTGAAAAACAGTTGATATCAGTAGAAAGTCTATAAACTATCAACAGAATACATACAGTTATCCATTAATTATATGCAACATATTTGGCATTTAAAATTAGAAAAGTTTTGCATACCTAAATGAAGTTGAATAAACACTGGCAGCACATCAGAGAAAGAAAGCACTTGTATTAAAGACAACAAAATAAATAAAACCAGAAACAGTGCAATCCATTCTAATAAAGGCTTTCTGAAGCAAAGCGATAGGTTTGTGTAAGACAAATATCCATATTTAACACTTTATAAAGTAAAATAACTAGCTTCCAGCCAAACAGATTCAACTTATGTCTAAAGCGTAACTTACGCGACGTACTGCAATATGCCATGATGTACTACGCTACGTCCTACATTACATGTTTCGTAAGTTACGCTTTAGGTGTAAGTCGAATCCATATGGTGGTTTTGCCAGAAGCTAGTTGTTTTACTTTATGTTAAATGTGGTTTTAAGTGTTAAATATGGATATTTTTCTTACACAAATGCATCGTTTTCCTTCAGAAGGCCTTTATTAACCTCCCTGGAGTCATGTGGATTACGTTTATGATGGATGGATGTACTTTTTTTAGTTTCAAACTTGCGGCACCCATTCACTGCCATTATAAGCCTGGAAGAGCCAGGTTTATTAATATAACTCTGATTGTGTTCATCTAAAAGAAGTCATATACACCTAGGATGGCTTGAGGATGAGTAAATCATGGGGTAATTTTTTTTTGTTTTTTGGGTGAACTATCCCTTTGACACCTTGTTGCCCACATTTAGTCTTTCTTCACAGAAAATGGGATGAGCTGTTTTTTGGTTTTCATTTCATTGATCTTTTCTGAGATCACCAACGATTTTTTTCTGACAGAGTTGTGCTAATTTCAAAAGTGTGTATTTACCCTTTAACTGTTCAAGGACACTTTTGTCTACTAGGTAAATCTCTGCAATTGCAGCCGTGTCTTTCACAGCATTTCTCGAAACACGCGCTTTCTTGAAAGCTGCAGTCATCCTAAAGCCTCTTTCCACAAGTTTGAGGACACACCGATATCTTTTCACCACGTCTGCAATTGAGGCAACTGAAAAACAAACAAAGAACAATAATGTAAATAAATCATCAAGCATTGTTGTGTTGTCTTCTTGTGTGATTCTTAGTCCCAAAAGGGAGCCTACAACTTAGATGAAGGTATGTGGCTTAACAATTGATTTAGAACATTTAATAGCCAGTAGTGAGAGGTCAGGGTATTATAGACTTAAATAAAGAAGGTAAACTGCTGAAAACATTCTTTATATTTAATTATTCATTACAGGTTCACCTCATTCTGCCATAATAGGTAAGCGCATGTTGTGTTTTTATTTACTTATTCATTACATGAAAGAAACCTGTAGTAAAAATACAAGTTAGATACAGAGAAATCTGTAACAGCAGTTAAGCTTTTAACATGTTGATTTCATGTCATGTCATGTCATCAAAAATTGACACGAGCAGTGGTGCATAAAGTACCTGAAAGCCATACTCAAGTAAAAGTACAGATATCTTACCAGAAAATTACTTTGGTAGAAGTTGAAGTAACCGTTTAAAATATTACTTAAGTAAAAGTCTTAAATTATGTGACATTTATTGTACTTAAGTACTAGTCATGGGCCGGTATGAGATTTTTACTATATGATAACCTTAAGCAAAAATATCACGGTTTCACAGTATCACGGTATTGTCGTTATAGCTCTAAAATGTGTTATTTTTAAACGACTGCGTAAAAAAACTAAAATAAAAAAAAACACTTTTTTGTTGAACCGCTGAACACAATATATTTTGTTTTTGAACAACATACAGAATATTAGGAACAGTAGAATGTTTATTTTTTCTTTGATTTGTTTCCTAAAAGGGAGAAACATAAAGACTGACATCTTTATTTAACCTAAATCTGTAATTAAAATTATTAAATTTTAGTTATATAATCCATATACATATCCTTTATATCATTTTATATCATTTAACTATATCATTTCATAATTTGATTTAATATAACTCAATTTGAAGCAAAAACAGAATGTTCTGGCTAGCTTTGTGAAATTATACTACATGCCTGAACGAAGCAAACAGCAGAAGCTCTGAATGAGATCAAAGTCATTTTAAGACAAGTCATGTCACTCGGTGGCCATCATCAAATTCTCCAAAACTGTTCACTAAGCTTATGATTAAATTTCATATTTGAAATCACCAAAGAAATCTGACAACAACTGTGTCATAAATGTTGTTACTTTTGCTCAAATAGCATTATAAAAATATTATTTTTCAGGCTAGATCAGCCAGTGCGCAGTCCTAAGAGCAAGTCTCAGTGCGCTGACTGTTTCTATAGCAACCGGGACTTCTAACGGCAGCTGCGGTGACACGCTGACTTTACCGATTAGCAATTGGCTCTTTCATTCAGAAGGTGGGGCTTCCTGCGATTGAGCAGCCATACTGAGCGTTGCATTTTTCCCCATTCAAAACTATAACAAGTGACACGTCTTGGGGTATTCTATAGTCTTTGATGAGATGCAGATTCACTCTCTGACAGCAGAAGGCGCTTCTGGAACACCAGATACAGCGTTTCCTTGGTTACCGCTGTAAACAAAGCAGCGCTGCGCTGAAACACTGCGTTAATATGAACTATACAGAGACGAGATGAAAAGAAAATACCACGTAAACTTTTCTGAAGACAGTTAGATCCCCTCAGAAACACATTCATATAAACCCCCGTAAATCAATATTGAGGATTTTCTTCCAATAGTTTGTGCATCATGAACAGTGAGTGATCTGCCTGCTACAGTATTTTTCTCTGTGCGTCCGTTTTCAGCGTCTCTGGCCTGTGTTAACGGGTGTTTACAGACTTCATATTTTCACATAAATTACATTTTCGAAAATGATTGCATTGCAATGCAGTTTGTGCAAGTCCAGAACAGAGACGAGTTGCAATAAGACAAAAACGGCCGGTTGCCGATCGCGTAAGTTCCAGGGGCAGCTCCTTAAGTTCGGCCATCTTACACACAAGTGACTGACCGCTCGCTCACACCAACAGGAGGAGGAGGGTCGCGGTACTCTCTACACTGCTGTGTTAATTTCGTTGACGAATAAT